CTAGTTCACTAAAAAGGTTTAAATGTCATATATTAAAAGAGATTAAATACTAATACAATCACTGTAAATACAAATTAATAATACAATACTTATTCTACTATTATAGATATGCTTTTTTTTGTTTTGTTTTTTTGTTTCTTGTGAGTTTCTTCTTTTATTACGTTAATTAAATATGGCTTACATTAATTACTTTTTAGATATTATATTTTTCTTTAATCCAGTTCTTATATTATAATAAATGTTCAAGTACTTTTTTTTTAAGAAAAAAAACTTATAAGAAAAGTTCTAGTATATTAATATAAGAGAAAATGGTCTAAACCCCCCCCCCCCTCAAATCTATACTCGAAATCTCAACTACACACTCCAATTTCACGGGTGTCCTATTACCCCCTGAACTTCATAGTTTTCAATTTTCTACACACTTAAACGCTGACCTGTCATAGGAGGTGACAACACCTCCTCTAGGCGCGTGAGAACACCTTAAATTTTGACGAAAATTTTCTTTTTTTCCAACAATCATCTTCCCCGGCATCAAATAAACTATTGTTTCTTCTTCCCTACCATTAACCCTTGTTACTTTTACTAAAAAAATTACGATTTTTGCTAAAAAAAATAAGTAGGGTTTAGTAGTTTATGTTCATTTTTACTTCAAATCTTGAATTTAGGATTTGTAATCTTCTCTAATTTTTTATTTAGGGCTCTATTTTGAATTTTATATTTTCTTGAAATTCATCAAAATGACAAATGAAAACTTGAATAAGTTTTGTATGGATGAATCAGACCTAATGTAGCTCTTAATTTCACAAATCAACAAAAATCTAAGGGATAAAACAAAAACTTGAAATAAGAGATAAAGAACTAACCTTTTACTAAACTAGTTGATAAACTATGAAATCAAGTTGAAAATACACAATGAAGTCCTTCGATAATCAGCATAAATGTATATGCAAATGGAGAAGGAGATGAAAAAGAGAGAAAAAACTTTTGTGGGTTTTTTACATTTAAGGAGGAAAATGAGGGAAAAAAATGAAATTGGAAATTGAAAAGTGGGGACCCGGCGCGTGATTGAATATTTGTTTGGTTTATGTGTTGTGGTCAGCGTTTAAGTGTGTAGAAAATAGAGAAATATGAAGTTTAGGTGGGTAATAGGACACCCGTAGAGTTGGAGTGTGTAGTTGAGATTTCGGATATAGATTGGAAGGGTTTTAGACCATTTTCTCTTAATATAATAATGTTTAAGTAGTTTCTACAAAAACTTATGTATTATATAGGGCAACTAGGCGACTTATTGGACGTATAATTTTGCTTAAAATTTTGAGCTATCAGATATTGATTTTAAAATTTCTTAATATGCTAGTCAACCTATAAGATATCGATTCGTTAATGAATTGATAATTACCAGAAGATTATCAAGCGGTATTTTAGATAACTTCGAGCCCGTTTGGATGGACTTATAAAAAGCAACTTTTAAAAAGTACATTTGAAAGTGCTGAAACTTACAATTTAAAATAAGTAGTTATGTCTTTTGATAAAAGTGTTTCAGTTGAAAAAAAAGTTGTTGATGTATTTGACAAATAGGTGCTGGTAAACCCTTTTTTTTTTATCAAAATGTCTGAAATACTCTTAAAATTGTTAACATGATAAAAAGTTGATTAATTTGAGATTTTTATACTTAAAAAAGTTAAAACAATATTAATTTATAATTTACATCAATAAGTAATAATATTTCCTATCATTCACATATTTCTTTATCATCACAATTTTTTTGTAATTATAATTATTATTAATAATAATAATAATAAATAATTACAATAATAATAATAATAATAATAAAAATAATAGTAATAATAATAGTAAAAATAAAAATAATAATAATAACAATAATAAATAATAATAATAATAATAAATAAATAATAAAATTAAGAATAATAAAAATAATAAAATAATAATAATATAATATCATTATTAATGATAATAATAATAATAATAAAAAAAATAATAATAATTAAGGGCAAAAAGGTAATATACTTGGTGAACATAAAATGACTTTTAAGTTGAACGGAAAAGAGCCTAAAATACCCTTGAAGTATTGAATTGTAACAACCCGTGTAGTCGTTTTGAGCACTAGAACATTTTATGTCAGAAAATACTTTCCTATAGATTTAAATGGGTGTTTTGGAGTATTCATAATTATAATTATGAAATTAGTGGGGTAGTTTTATAATTAAGTTAGTTGGTGGTTAAAGAAAATAACTTTAAAATTGATAGTGGACCACTTTTATAACTCTTATAAGTAGTATATTAGATTAGGGTAGAGAATAATTTTGTAGAAAATAAGAAAGGAAGGGAATAACACAAAGCGGCGTTTGAACGAAGAAAAATCACGGGCAGCTTCAAGTAAACTATGCGACTGTTTCATTATTTTTTTGGTGTACTTTGATGGTATGTAGTACTTCAATTAGTAGTATGTCATTATTCATATTAGTGGGAAAAAGGGGATAAAATAGTTAGTTGTTAATCAATTATATGAGGCAATTACAGAAGGATTGCAAATCTAGGCTTCTTAATTAATTAGTGGAGACATTATTAGGGGCAATATAGTTAATCAATGGAAAGTAGAAAATCATTATATTTTATTAGGGGTTTGAATTAGAGCAAGAAAGGTAGGAATGTTTTTGCAGTGCGGAAGTCATGATAAGATTGTTTGTCGAGTTTTATTATCGAATAATGATAAGCTTAATTCACCTCATCATTTTTTTATTGTTAAAATTGTTGTGGAACGATGTTGCTTCAGCAACATGGTATTGCATATTGTTTTTTTTTTTAAATTATAGTTGATGATTAATGACTATATTAATGGATAAAAAAATGGTGGAAAATTATTTTATTATATGAAAAAGGTAAGTATTTTAGGCATAATGATGAGTCATGAATGGTGTGAGGTGCTCTCTGTTGCTGCCACTGGTTTCATAACCAGTGGTTTCGATTTTAAACATAATAATGTTGTTATCTTATTATATACTAAGTTTTGATATATCGAGATAGGTAACTAAATATTAGATATATTGAATTACTTAAATTTTATTTAAGTTGCGCTAATTGGAAGAATTAAGATTTTCGCTTAGGTTTGAACTTTAAGGAATTAATTATAGAATTAGGTGCATTAATGATGGGTAGAGGTTAGAAATAGAATAATTGGAGCTTTTGTGGGCTTATTAACTTACACCTTATTATATATGTATATATACTTTATAGATTGGGTGATCTTTTGAGTCTAGGCTTAACCTGTAGTAATGTGGGTGTTGTTAGTTTCGAAACCTTATTATGAATATATACTTGAATAGATTGCATCGATTTGGAAGGTCAACAGAAAGGAAAGGCTCAAGTCCCAGAGTGATTGTTCGATAAATTGAGGCAAGTGAATTTCTAAACTCTTGTTAAGTATATGGAATGCGTGTATTTCCCTTGTGGTATATGTTATATATGTTTGGGAGTAATGAGACTGGGTGATGGGTTGACTTTCACATTGATTAATTCTAATGATGAAAACAAATGGTAATAAAAGGCAATGTCAATAATGGGTTGTGTGTGATGTGTTGATAATATCGAATGATTTGAAAGGTTTGTTGAATCATTGTTGATGTTGTAAATTGTGCAATGTTATGAAAATGGTGATATACTCTTTATTTCTGTGAACAAGTCATTTGCATTATTTTGACACATGGTTGTGAAAAGTGTTATGTGCATTGAAAAAGAATGAGAAAAGAGAATGTACCATTTCGAGGGACGTATCGCGCGCCGCGATGGATACTATATTACGAGGGACGTATCGCGCGCCGCGATGGATACTATATTTCGAGGGACGTATCGCGCGCCGCGATGGTTACTATTATCGAGGGTCGTGTCGTGCGCCGCGACAGATGCATGGACAAATATGTCCCCAATGGGTCCCGGACTGAGAGACAACGGGTGTGTATCACTAGGTCAAACATGCATCATTATACTTGACATTGCATTCCATTGCATTGCACATACTTATCATTAGTGAACTTGATATCGTGTTTTGCTGGTCTTCTGATTGCCTTTCTGCGGAACTTGTGATTGATCAATATTGAGCTTGTTATTGCGTATATATAATTTGTTGAAGTATTGTTGTTGAAGATATGTAATTTGTTAAAGTGTTGATGTTGAGGATATGTAATATGTCTAAGTGTTGTTGTTGAGCTACGTGCTATGTAAACTGTGAGTTGTTAGGTTGGGTTGAATTTACTGCAGGTTGTAGTTGTGGAGGTTCGGTTGGGGGTGGTAGGAGTACCCGTATTTCATCCTCTTAGCTTGTGTTTAGAGGTTTACTTGCTGAGTACCGTGTGGTTTGGTACTCACCCCTTGCTACTACAAATTTTTGTAGGTTATGAGCCTTGATTTTTGTTGTACTTGTCATTCTCTTCTTTTCCGAGGCTTCTTGGAGATTTGTGAGGTAGCTGTTTTCATCTCAGCAGACTTTCTTCTCCTTAATTATGATCTTGTTCTATTCTAGAAACAAGTTCATTTGAGACTTGAGTTTTCATTTTAATCAATTGTAATATTTTAGAGGCTTGTACACGTGACTACCAGGTTTTGGGGTTTTTATTAAGTTACTTATATTTTATTTCCGCACTTAATGTAATGGTTGAGTTTTAGGCTGACTTGTCTTGGTGGGATAAGACGAGTGCCATCATGTCCATTTTTGGGTCGTGACAAAATGGTATCAGAGCCCTAGGTTCATAGGTTTCACGTGTGTACAAGTCGAGTCTAAATAGAGTCTCGATGATCGGTACGGAGACGTCTTTTCTTATCTTCGAGAAGCTATAGGACTTTAGGAAAGCTCATTTCTTTATTTCTTTCGTGCTACTACTTGAATCCAATTGGTATCTAGGTGATACTAATTGGTATCTGAACTTCTTTACTCTATTTCAAATATGGGTACTACTAGAGTATTTGAAGTTGAAATAGCAACAAACAGAAAGAATAAATAAATAAATAAATATGTCCTTAGAAATAGATATATTTTCTCGATCGCAAAATGTGGTGGTAGTCTTATGTCGAGTGTCGGTTAATAAAGACACTACTACGACTTCATAGAGTGAGGGTATATTCGAGAAAGTCATCGATACTTACTTGGTTAGAGTTAGGAAGTGTGTTATTCTGTTATTGAATTGATCTAAGAAGTAAAACAAATTTTTTTGGTCTAGAGAGAGAACAAATTCAATAATGTTTTGCAAATATTCAATGGGTAGAAATATGTGGGCTATTTGGGTACGATATTATGAATATGTATGGTGTGTTCTAGTGAGGTATCTAACGGACTTTCACATTGTGGCAGTACTAGGGTTATGTGAAAACATGTATGTTCATTTTCAAGTATGAATACTAATTACTAAAGGAGTTACCAGTTGTATGACATAGTCAGTAATTACTAAAGGAGTTACCAGTTGTATGACATAGTCAGTAATAAGATTTAGTGTTGCATTCACATTTGAGAAACCAACTAGTTTATTACTACAGGAACTTAGATTGAGCATTATTTTAAAAGAAAATTTTAGTGGTGGATCTTTGGGATAATATTAATACACTTAAGTTGTGAAATGTATCTTGAGGGTTCTGAATGAGTACTGACGATTTTATCTTAAGTTTCAAGGGATAGGTTGATACTGGAATGACCTAGTGAGTATACTTTGGGTGGATTAAGTTGAAAATTTTAGTAAGAAATTGCATATATAATTTGTTAGTCCCTTCATTTTGATTACTATATCTGAGTTTAAGGTGTCATGTCAAAAAAATAAAAATAAAAAATAAAAAAATTTGACTTTGCGATGATGAAAAGGGCTTACAAAGGATGATGGCAATAAGAGTAAGTTATGGATGGTGACGGAGATGCAAATTATAGAATACAAATTGTTGGTCAAATAAATTTTGTATGGTGATAAAAAAAAACTTGTGAGTATCTAAGGTTGAGATTTATACTATTAGTGAGTAATGTGGTTGTATGATAAATTTTAGGAGATTTAGGGCACACTCGAATATAATTTAAAGAAGCTGGAATCATAACTAAAATAAGATAAAATTTGTGGGATGTGTAGCCTTAAGAAAAATAAGTGAGCAGAATTATTTTCTCTGATTGTAAGAAACTAAAAATGTATCTTTGAAGGGATCGAGAATTGGATTCAAAATTGCGTGATTTCATCTATTTTGTTTTGGTTAAGGTAATAGCATAACAGGTTAATCAGCTTGGTTAAAAGCTATTGAATAGGACTTGAGAAAAGAGTGTACATACATTCAACTTGAATGTGACAATAAGTTCTTTTGTGATTTTGAGTTTAGTAATGAGTGCTATTGAGTTTTTAGCAAAGGATATGGTAAAATCTATGAATAGGCGATCAATGATAAGTTAAGATACATGAATTTCTAAAAATCTTCAAGGTATGAGCTAATGTTGATAGATTAGGGAATTTGGTTATATGGTGGAAATCATCGTTCAAGTTCCTTATTTTAAGTCGACATTCATGGTAGTATTAGTCAAGATATGAATTATTAAGGTAATAAATGATTAATCGTGTGGTGTATTGGGTAATTGAAAGAATTTATGCATGCTTTGGATCATAAAGTTGTTACTTTTGATTGTTAAAGGATCTAAGGAAGGGTTTACCCTCAGAGTTTTGATTTAGAGTGTGAAGTAAAATGTCATGGATTATTAGTAAAACATGAGATCGGTAAGCAAGCTAGATAAACAAGAGTTTGATATATTGAAGGAGCGAGATATTTAGAATTTGCACCATGAAAAGAATTTGAGAAGAGTGAAAGAATAAGACCTCTCGTATAAATCCATGGGGTGTAGTTGATGGTTGTTTTAATTTTTGCCTATGAGTTTAGATATAATTGTGAGATGTGAACTAGTTCGGTACAGACTTACTAGGAGTTTATCATCGATTTCTAAAAAAATTAATAATAATAATAAAAAAGAGTTTTGGTTTAGGTGACAAATAATGAGGTATGAAAATTTTAGTATTTTACAATGAGGTTAGATTGTTCAAATTAGGATAGAAGACTTAAGAATGATGTAAAATGTTAGATACAATTCTACATGGTTATTAAGAATAAAGTTGGGTTAATACTACTCCATTGATGGGACTTCATAGAATGTTAAGGTGTGTTGCATGGACATTTGATGGTTAATAGAGGTTATGAGCTTATAGTATACAGAATAGTTTGAGTGACAAAAAATTTTCCCAAGTGTTGGCATGATATATATATAATGGTTTAAAATGGTATCTCAAGCATGGTATGTGAAAGTGGTGTAGAGTTAACTTTGGGTGTGATTTAATAGTTTTGTCTCAATGAAAAGGTACTATCCCATTTGAAATTTGTGCTATAGGCCTTATTTGGGAGTCGTATCTGTCAGGAAATGCTTAAATAGAAAGAGATAGCCATAGCTTGAACATGTATTTGATAAGCATACTTTGATACTAATGATGGTTTGAGAGTAAGGTAGATAATCGATGTAGTTATACATTTTGTTATTATTAAGAGTGTTGACTTCAATGAATATGGAGTTTGATAAACCAAGTATGTGTACAATTATATTAGAGACATTCTATGAGGGGAGGTGTAGATCTCTAATTTTTTGATACTATTGAGATGAAACAATGGGTATTAATATTTTGGAATAATCATTGAGATAACTATCCTTTCTTGCCTTGACTTCCTTTGATCGTTCGAGGACGAACGATGGGTAAATTGGTATCTATTGTAACAACCCGTGTAGTCGTTTTAAGCACTAGAACATTTTACGTCAGAAAATACTTTCCTATAGATTTAAATGGGTGTTTTGGAGTATTCATAATTATAATTATGAAATTAGTGGGGTAGTTTTATAATTAAGTTAGTTGGTGGTTAAAGAAAATAACTTTAAAATTGATAGTGGACCACTTTTATAACTCTTATAAGTAGTATATTAGATTAGGGTAGAGAATAATTTTGTAGAAAATAAGAAAGGAAGGGAATAACACAAAGCGGCGTTTGAACGAAGAAAAATCACGGGCAGCTTCAAGTAAACTATGCGACTGTTTCATTATTTTTTTGGTGTACTTTGATGGTATGTAGTACTTCAATTAGTAGTATGTCATTGTTCATATTAGTGGGAAAAAGGGGATAAAATAGTTAGTTGTTAATCAATTATATGAGGCAATTACAGATGGATTGCAAATCTAGGCTTCTTAATTAATTAGTGGAGACATTATTAGGGGCAATATAGTTAATCAATGGAAAGTAGAAAATCATTATATTTTATTAGGGGTTTGAATTAGAGCAAGAAAGGTAGGAATGTTTTTGCAGTGAGGAAGTCATGATAAGATTGTTTGTCGAGTTTTATTATCGAATAATGATAAGTTTAATTCACCTCATCATTTTTTTTACTGTTAAAATTGTTGTGGAACGATGTTGCTTCAGCCACATGGTATTGCATATTTTTTTAAAAAAAATTATAGTTGATGATTAATGACTATATTAATGGATAAAAAAATGGTGGAAAATTATTTTATTATATGAAAAAGGTAAGTATTTTAGGCATAATGATGGGTCAGAATTGTAAGATAAAGATCAGTACATGGCGAAAGGTAGGCGTGTGGTGTGAGGTGCTCTCTGTTGCTGCCACTGGTTTCATAAACAGTGGTTTCGATTTTAAACATAATAATGTTGTTATCTTATTATATACTAAGTTTTGATATATCGAGATAGGTAACTAAATATTAGATATATTGAATTACTTAAATTTTATTTAAGTTGCGCTAATTGGAAGAATTAAGATTTTCGCTTAGGTTTGAACTTTAAGGAATTAATGATAGAATTAGGTGCATTGATGGGTAGAGGTTAGAAATAGAATAATTGGAGCTTTTGTGGGCTTATTAACTTACACCTTATTATATATGTATATATACTTTATAGATTGGGTGATCTTTTGAGTCTAGGCTTAACCTGTAGTAATGTGGGTGTTGTTAGTTTCGAAACCTTATTATGAATATATACTTGAATAGATTGCATCGATTTGGAAGGTCAACAGAAAGGAAAGGCTCAAGTCCCAGAGTGATTGTTCGATAAATTGAGGCAAGTGAATTTCTAAACTCTTGTTAAGTATATGGAATGCGTGTATTTCCTTGTGGTATATGTTATATATGTTTGGGAGTAATGAGACTGGGTGATGGGTTGACTTTCACATTGATTAATTCTAATGATGAAAACAAATGGTAATAAAAGGCAATGTCAATAATGGGTTGTGTGTGATGTGTTGATAATATCGAATGATTTGAAAGGCTTGTTGAATCATTGTTGATGTTGTAAATTGTGCAATGTTATGAAAATGGTGATATACTCTTTATTTCTGTGAACAAGTCATTTGCATTATTTTGACACATGGTTGTGAAAAGTGTTATGTGCATTGAAAAAGAATGAGAAAAGAGAATGTACCATTTCGAGGGACGTATCGCGCGCCGCGATGGATACTATATTACGAGGGACGTATCGCGCGCCGTGATGGATACTATATTTCGAGGGACGTATCGCGCGCCGCGATGGTTACTATTATCGAGGGTCGTGTCGTGCGCCGCGACAGATGCATGGACAAATATGTCCCCCATGGGTCCCGGACTGAGAGACAGCGGGTGTGTATCATTAGGTCAAACATGCATCATTATACTTGACATTCCATTCCATTGCATTGCACATACTTATCATTAGTGAACTTGATATCGTGTTTTGCTGGTCTTCTGATTGCCTTTCTGCGGAACTTGTGATTGATCAATATTGAGCTTGTTATTGCGGATATATAATTTGTTGAAGTATTGTTGTTGAGGATATGTAATTTGTTAAAGTGTTGATGTTGAGGATATGTAATTTGTCTAAGTGTTGTTGTTGAGCTACGTGCTATGTAAACTGTGAGCTGTTAGGTTGGGTTGAATTTACTGCAGGTTGTAGTTGTGGAGGTTCGGTTGGGGGTGGTAGGAGTACCCGTATTTCATCCCCTTAGCTTGTGTTTAGAGGTTTACTTGCTGAGTACCGTGTGGTTTGGTACTCACCCCTTGCTACTACAAATTTTTGTAGGTTATGAGCCTGGATTTTTGTTGTACTTGTCATTCTCTTCTTTTCCGAGGCTTCTTGGAGATTTGTGAGGTAGTTGTTTTCATCTCAGCAGACTTTCTTCTCCTTAATTATGATCTTGTTCTATTCTAGAAACAAGTTCATTTGAGACTTGAGTTTTCATTTTAATCAATTGTAATATTTTAGAGGCTTGTACACGTGACTATCAGGTTTTGGGGTTTTTATTAAGTTACTTATATTTTATTTCCGCACTTAATGTAATGGTTGAGTTTTAGGCTGACTTGTCTTGGTGGGATAAGACGAGTGCCATCACGTCTATTTTTGGGTCGTGACATGAAAATGGTACACAATTACCCCTATCCATCTATTGGCCCCCCAAATACCCTTCACATCCACCTTTGGGTCCAAATTTACCCCCTCACTAACGGACCAAAATTAAAAATAATTAAATAATATTTTTTAATTACGTGGCACTCAACCATTGGTTGTAATTTAATTATTTAAAATAATTTTAAACCCACCCATTTTAACTAAACCCGCCCCACTTGACCCAATTGTAAAAAAAACCCATCCAAATAAAATACCCTAAAACCTTATTCCTCCAATTTTCACAACTTCCATGGACTCCATTTTATTCTTCTTCTTCCTTCATATATATCTGCTTATCAAAATGGTCCTTGATGTATATAAAAAGATTATCTTTTTAGCCATTACAATAATTTTGTTTGTCTGCTTTAGGATCTAATAGGCTTTTGTCATTGAATGATTATTTTAGTAATATTTATAAGGAGAGCTTCTTTTTAGTTTTTCCAATAAACTCAAATTAAATCACAAACGCAATGAGTAAACTTATATATATTGAGTTGAACGATTCACATGTATAAATATTAATTTCGAATTCTATCGTATTATTAAAAGTTATGCTTAAATGAATAAAATCCTTATATGTTTTCAATAAAATCCTTAATGAAGAAGAAGAAGAATACAATGGAGTCCATGGAAGTTGTGAAAATTGGAGGAATAGAGTTTTTGGGTATTTTAATTAAATGGTTTTTTTTTTTAAAAAAAATGGGTCAAGTGGGGTGGGTTTAGTTAAAATGGGTGGATTTAAAATTATTTTAAATAATTAAATTACAACCAATGGTTGAGTGCCACGTAATTAAAAAATATTATTTAATTATTTTTAATTTTGGTCCGTTAGTGAAGGGGTAAATTTGGACCCAAAGGTGGATGTGAAGGGTATTTGGGGGCCAATAAGTGGATGGGGGGTAATTGTGTACCATTTTCAATACTTCAAGGGTATTTTAGGCCCTTTTCCGTAGGTTGAAAAAAGAAGAAGCACCCCTACCTAGCTTTTAGCTTTTGGCTTAAAATAAGTCATTTTTGACCTAAAATAAGTCACTTTAACAATTGTCAAACACTTTAATAAGTCAAAAATAATTTTTAAGTCAATTTGACCAGCTTTTAAGCTCATCCAAACAGACTCTTGTAATTTCTATGGTACTTTTTTTTCTTCGGATGAACGCACCTTACAGAAAGGATGACAAGGATTACTTTAAGCAATAACAAGATCAAATGGATAAGTTGATCTAGATTATCAACTGGTTGTCTTATTTTCATTGTCCAGTGGAAATATCTTTATAAATGACCCGATAAATTGTTGCGTAGTTTTCATGTACATATCTTCAGTACTTTTGTGTGTTTGTTGACTTGCTCTCTATTTTTTAAAGCAAAATAGATAATTATAGCAAAGTAAATAGATTTTCATGACTTTAGGACTTTAGCCTTCAAGGGTGTGTTTGGTATGAAGGAATATGTTTTCCTAGAAAACAAGTAGATTTTGGACTTATTTTCTCATGTTTGGTTGGTGCGTAGAAAATATATTCGTAAATGATTTTTAGTGTTTAATTTATGAATGAAAAATGTTTTTGAGGAACATCTTTTATTTTTACTAGAGTAGAAAATAATTTATGAAATTAAAAATATTTTTTTTGGGTGGTGGTGGTGGAGGTGTGGGGGGATAGTGGGGTTGGGGGCAGGGGCAGGGGGTAGGATTGAAAAAGTAAAAATTTGAAGTTGATAGTATTTTTAAAAAGCAAAATTAATTTTTTTTTGGGTTGGGGTTGGGGATGGGGGTAGGGGTGGGGGTGGAGGGGGCTAGTAGGGGGGCTGGCTAGGGGGGAAGTAGGAGTTTAAAAATAAAAAATTAAAGTTGAAAATATTTTTAAAAAGCAAAATTAATTTTTTGGGGAGGGGGTTGGGGGGAGGGTGGCCAGGAATCGGGTGAAAAAATAAAATTTTGAAATTGATTTTTTTTTTAAAAAATGATGTTTTTTCCAAAAAAAAATGTAATTTGAAATTTGAAGGATAGTTTTGGAAAATGTTTTTCTTGATTTTTGAAGGGAAGTCATTTTCTTAAATTTTGAAGAAAATGAGTTGATTTAGAAAACATTTTCCAAAACTTTTGTCTCAACCAAACATGAGAAAATTAGAAAACATTTTTCAGAAAATATTTTCGTTCATACCAAACACACTCTAAGAGTTCAGACTAACAAATGAAAAATATATAATTATTCTCACATATTCTGACAAAATATTCAATGAGACTATATATACCTAAAATAAAAATGTAATTATAATAACTCAGAACAAGTTAACAATTTATTTCGATAAGAAAATTCAATAATCCGCTACCATACCAATCAGTCGTTAACTATAACATTTTAATCCGTTCCTTAACCATTTATTCAATAATTCAATACAAATAAAATCAATTCTATGATTGATTTATCGATATCAACTAATAATCCATATATCAAATAGATTCTATCAAATACCATATTTGCATTAATAAATTTCTTAAATAAATATATATAAATATTGAATTTAAACTTAATTATTATTTCATAAAATTATTTTTATAGAACTAAAACTCTTAACTTTTATGTCTGAAAACAAGCCCATCGCACTGATCGACACGTACCCTAGTTTTTATTTTTATATGAATCTAAAATGACAAAAGCGACAGAAAACTCACAAGAAAAAAATGTCTAACAATCCGCCACCGTCGTCGCAGTTACCGCCGCCGCTGCCGCTGCCGCTGCTAGGTTACCCAGGAGGAACTCTCTCTTACCCTAAGCCGGAAGCTGAATACCATGAAATTGTTCAAAATTCCCAACTTTTCTGGAACAAACTTCAGAAATTCTCCGCATCACTGCAAACCAAGTTCCAGTTAGTCTAATTTCCTTTCAATTTCTTCTTTACCTTTACTAATTTTACAACTTCAATTACTTAACTTTTCGTTGTTCATTGTATTCAGAATGTCTATGTCGCTTCCGATTTATAATTATAATCAATGACCGCATTGTAATATTAAAACTGGAGGAAAAAAACACAAATGCACAATTATTCATTTCATGTCTATACATTTTAGGTATAGTTTATTAATTCGGAGATAGTTGCATTACTAAGTTTTTTTTTAAAAAAATTTGATGGAGGCGAGTGTCGTATATGTTCTAAGGTCTCTTCAATGAGAAGTTCAATGTTATTTTGTGAAACATTTATACTCTGTTTCGATGATTAATACATATTTTTTCATAGTTTATCGTATTGTGTTGTATTACATTGTACTGGAATATTTGGAACAGTTTTCACCTTGCATGCATTTTACCAGAGGTGTATCTAGAGGGGTTCCGTGGGTTCATGTGCACCCATACTCCCTCTCTAGATCATATATAGTAGTATAGCGCTAATTATCTTTTTTTAAAAATGCTTAAATATAGATGTGTGAACTCACTGTAAAAATACAATTATGATTGGGAGCACCTCTTTGTGTGAGTATATCATATTTTTTTTTTAGTAATACCTCTCCAAGTGGTTATCGGTAACACTTTTGACGTTTCAACTAATTTTTTTTAATTTTTTTTTCTTTGATATTTCAAAGTTCAAGAGTGTTACATTGAAAGTTCCTAAAGAAATTATATAATTAAATCAATGTGTATATAAAAATTTAAAACTAGTAATATTATGTAATTTTGACCAATAATTTTTAATATTAACAGTTCAAATTAAGAACCTAAAGGTCAAACTGTTTGAATTTATATTTTAGATACATTTTTTTCATAATAGTGTACCCATAAATACAAACGCCTCTGCATTTTACAGGCATCAGTAGCATCATAAAGTGAAATCTCTTTTGAGGTACAAAATAGTAGGGTAAATAGAAAGTTGTTTCTTTATTGTTCTGGTTGTATAGTGTGCAACAACTTTCGATACAGGATAGGCCCATCTCAGGTTGGAGTGTTTGCTCGCCCTTAAGGCCTGCCAGTGAGATTTTCGCTCATTGCATCCACTTCATAGTTCTTTGAACATGGATGGTACTAGGACCCATTTTCAGTAGGTGGGTGTATAGTCATTCATGAGGTAGGGGATTTTGTAGGCGAGTGCATGGATAAATATACACATAGATGGAATTATTTTATGCAAGCTCATTTATCCTGTAGGTCGGCTCCAAAGCAGTGTTGTGAAAGGCGATCGCCTCGTCGTCAATGGCAAGAGGCGAGGTGACCTTCAAAAGGCGACACCATGACGACAAAAGGTGAGAGGCGAGAGGCAAGAGAAACGAGAAAGGCGTCACCTTTTGTATTTTCTTAAAAAAGGCGACCAATTTAGGGTTTTAAAAGTTAAAAGATAATTTTAGGGCTTACGACTAGAATCCTTGGCGACCAGCCAAACTTTCCTGACTACTCCAAAGTCCAACCAATTCATATTTCTTCTTCCAAGTTTTCTTTTGCCTTCTTCTTCGGACTTCAGAGTCACTTCTACCTTTGTTTTGATTTTTGTTTTGTTTTTTTCTCATTCAAGTTCTAGACTTTTAGTATGTACTATCTATTTTTCAGTTTTTGTTTTAAAATATTTGCTAATATGTTATTGCTATTGATTTGATTATTTACATTCCCAATTAAATATTTTAACTTTTTTGGTATTAATTGGTGCCACACTTCAAAAGGCGAGCGCGATCCTTGTCGTCTTTTATCGCCTTTCGCCGTCTAAATAACTATTCCAAAGTTATAGGATGATAAATAGTTCTATATAGTCTTTCATAATAAACGTGATAATCTTAACTTGTTTTAGTACTGTAAATGGTAGTCAAATTAATGTAGATAAAGATTAACTTTTGTTATCTTGTATGGTAGAAAGTCTTTATTTTGGAGAGAAATGATTGATTCAAAGTTTATTTACATATTATTGACCATAGAAATGACTTGATTGTAATTTGTCAAACTGCAGACTCATGTTAAAGAGGTTCTTTTGGTTTGTCAAATTTGCTAATTGCTTATAGAGTGAACAAAAAGTCAATGATGAAGTTTGGTGATCTTTCTTTTCAAAAACGTCAGTGTGATATTTCCTCCTTTCATCCTAACTTCCCTTGGTTTGCAGGATCCCTCTTGTAGCAGGAACACCACTAGATTTACACCGTCTTTTTGTGGAGGTTACATCTCGAGGTGGAATAGAAAAGGTATGTACAAACACACATTTTGCTTGTGACATATATATATATATATATATATATATCATATTTCACTTCAAAATGTATTTTAATTTTTGGGAGAGAATCTTTGGTATGAAACTACAGTAAAATGCCTGATAAAAAAAAAAGAGAAAAAAGATGCTACAGTAAAATATAAGCATGTTAACACATGAAACTAATTCTTTTCCTTCTGATTGAATTGGATGTCATAGCCTCATTGATCCTAAATCATGTTAAAATATAATAATGGGCTTCGACTCCTTTAGCCTTTATCCCCCTCAAATGCTAGTTCGAAGGTATGTGAAGCTTTTCCTATTCTTTCCCTAGTTTCATTTGTTAAATACATGTTCCCCTTTACATACAAAAATTTACACTTGTGGCTGAGGAAGGTAGGATATATGATACGAAACAACTATGTTAATGCAAGTTAAGATCATTTGTATTTTGTTGTTGTATATAGACAGTCTTAGTACTTGCCTTAATAAAATTTCCTTATCTTATAAAAACTTACATGTTCTCTTTGCGAATACGTATAGACATGCAGATGTTTGTTCTCTTTGCGAATACGTATAGACATGCAGATATTTGTATGTCTGAGATATATACATCCAAAGGCTTTACTGGGCTTGGCTTAACTGCGTAAGGAGTTCCCAATTAATAATCCATGAAAATTTTGATTAAAGATGTCAAATTTTGAATGCACAGGTGTGACTCATACAAAATGTTAGAACCACTTTGGTGATTAGGTGGGAATTTTTAAAGGTAACTCAGTGTAAACTTGAGTGGTACCCTATAAATTGCAGCTGTTTGTTGTAGATTTAGAGGAGTGAGGTTTAAAGGGAGAAAAGATGTGAAAATCAATACTAAGATGCAATCTTCGGTCATTATGACATGATAAATACATACATTGTACACTAAGATACATCAATTATATATCGAATATTCATCAAGTACGCACTGATTATACACTTGAGACAAAATTTGTGATTCTACAATTAGAGATTTAAAGTTCAAAAGCAACTAATAATTGCTTGAAATTGTTATCAAGGTTAGAAAAATTACCACGACTACGTCATGAGGCCACTAACAACTTCCTATTTTCTATGGAACCCTATCCATCACAACAAATCGAAACATACAAATGTGACCGTGTGAAACCACATTCAAAGCTCCATTAAACACCTCAAATCCACAAACTCCATGCTATTTTGACCATCTCAAATAAAGATATAAGGTAACAACTTCATATTTGGGCGACCTTTATCAACCACTTCAAACACTAAATCATTGAAGAGATGGAGTGGATGAGGAGATGTAGGGGGCCAACAGGGAAGAATATAGGAAAGGCATAGAAGAAGAGAAGACAAGGAGGAGAACAGAGGACGACCATATAAGAGAGAGAGACTTTTGGAAACACAAAAAGTGCTTTTAAGCACTTCCATTTAGGCTGAAAAGTGTAAAAAAAGGTCAAAAAAAGCCAAAAGTTAGGTGTTCCCAACTTATGGCTTTTAGCTTTTAGATTATGAGTCACTTAAAAAAATCCAATTCAACACCCCCTAAAAATGGTGAATGTCGATATTAGATTTTTTATTTCGCGAAGTTTATAAAGATTGAAGCTTTTCATTGATGGATTGAATAGGTTGCTATATGTAGTGTAGTAATTTCTAAATTTTAACATGCACATGAAATACCTTTTGAATCAAATATCATAAGTTGCTGAACTGAAGAGAAATAAAATGTATATGACTATAAATAAAGATTCAACTTAGTCCAAAAGTTTGGCACAATTAACTTGTTGGTTGAACAGCACAAGTTCATTTTTCCAACAAAATAGAATAACACTCATAAATAATTGAAATAAAAAGTACAATAACGCAAAAATGGATAGGAAAATGCAACAAATTAAGATTCACAGTAAGAAAAAAGCAACTTGAAAAAACAGTGATAAAACAATATAATTATTATATTCTAAATCGAGGTCCTTGGAATGTCCATCATCTTCAACATTGGTGTCATTGCCTTCTGCTAGTCCTGTCTTTGTACCGCTTCCATCCCCTATTGCAGCCATAGTCTCAAAAAAAAATAACCATCATTCAATAAATCTTCCACTAGACTTGTTGATATTACATTTATGTTGTTGGATTGAGGATTTGGAGACTTTTCCAATTGTATCTTTCTTCCGTTAAATTTTAGCCGTTTTAGCAGCAAACACCTTTAACAAACCTTTCATTTGTTTTGTCTTGCATCAAGTTCATTTAATACTCTTTCCCTCCATTAGTTGGTTGAAGATGAGTTCCATCTCCTTCTCCTTATTCATTTTCTCTAATTTGCTAATTTGTTCTTCTTTCTTATCCGCTTTCCTCAGGAGATAGGTTTCACGGTTGACAGCTTTTTTAAGCCTTCTGTACTTTTGTAAAACTTCAATACCTCGTTAAGACATCCCCAGCCAGACTTGTTGATTTCCAAGCAATTGGTTGGGTATTTCTTGGCCTAAAAGTAATTATGTCGACTTCTACTTCATCTGCTTTCTTGAACAAACTTGTTGTTCTTCTACTATTTAGGATGGAGTTTCTCACATTTTTTCACTATAGTTCTCCTAGTAATCCTAATCCTTTTTGTAGCCATAAGCCTTTTTGTAGCCATATTTGACACTCGAACAAAAAAAAACACTTCCTTTTGGAGTAGAATACATAAAACTTGAAGAAGTGTGTAACTTTTACAGATGCCAAACAAGAAATGTCAATGTAGTCAAACTGAGAAATTTCGTAAGTTGGGGTTCAAATTTTAAATAAATTGATTATTGTAATCTTTTTTTAAGGAAATCGTTTTACTCTTTTCTAAGAAAATTGAAAATTGCTTAAATTTTGACAGGTCATGTTCCATGAATATTTTGGTAATAGGAAGCGCAATAATTAACTTGTTACACAGGCACATTTGGTAGAAAATGTATAGGGGATGTATGTTTTACAAAGATGTTAGCATATCATTAAAAAACACTTCTATCATATTTCAGTATTTTGATGGATAAATAGGTTTGTGATAAGTAGTAGTCATGCAAGGCGTGGGAAAAGGTATGAGAACTTCTTATTGATTATAGTATTTTTTTAGTTAAAGGTACAATAATGTACCGATTGTAGTAATTGATGAATTATAAGATGATATTTATTAAAGAAAAATGATTTTTTTTTTCACAAATAAGAGGCGTGATGACTCAAAAGCGATGGTCATAATGGCAATTGCACTATCCCACTGGTAGGTAAGCCAAGCCTCCACCAAAATTAATATCAAACAATCATGCGGAAATGACATGACAAGCGAAATCAAGTCTCAAAACCCAAAGCTTTCATAGATATAATAGAAGTGCGGGAAGCAAGAAATACACCCAAAATCTAGTGTCACTAGTAGTACAAGTGCATCTAAATTGAGTACATTACTTCAAAATATAAGACTATTAGAAATTGTAAAAAGACATATATATATACAAGATAGAAGAAGCTAGGCACTTTGTAAAAAGACATATATATATATATATATATATATATATACAAGACAGAAGAAGCTAGGCAATTTGAACGACAGGTAGCTCGCTAACACTTCAGATAAAATGAATCTGCAGGGTTTGCTAGTGCTAGGATATGCATAAGAAAGATGCAACAAGAGTAGTATAAATACACTAACATGTGTACTTAGTTGTCATCATAGGCCTATAGAGCTAGAGTTAGACAATTATATCATGAGAAGTATTTAATGAATCTCGTTAAGTCAATATAATAGTCCAGTCCACTAACTCTTGCAAAATGGGGATAAGGAAGCTAACTAGATTTATACGATAAGTAAATACAAGAGCATCAGTTAAGGCGGATAAAACTAAAAAGGTACAAACCAATGGAAAATGATAACATGGATTGCAATGACCAATAATCCTACCCGTATAAACCTGCTCAATAGTGGCATTCACTTAACTAGGACGCATGGGGGACTTATGAGGTCCATATGCTCCTCCGGTAATGACCTCAACATCATCACAATGTCACTACCCCGTATATACCTCGGATTTTCCTCAATCTTTTGTAACCACCATACCATATCCATGATCCATGACAAATGAATGTACATGCATGATCATGATAATAGAGAAAGTTTTACAACAACAATTTGTGTATTTCTTTCCAACAATGCCCTTAGGCCACTAACTTCCTCAAATAAGCAAATTCCTTTTTTTTGGCTGAAGCGAAGGTTTCTATTGCTGGCATCAAGGAGATGCATGTAAGTTACAAAAGAGTAGTAGCAAAAATAACTAAGAAGCTCCATTATAGACATTATAATAAAGATAAGGAACTAACGAAGTTCAAAAGGTTATCCAGGGAATATATAGCGGACAAATAACCCAGCTATATAGATACATAAGGCTTTTAGCTCTTAGAGATTGGTAGGTAGTTGATATCCCATTAAAGTATCTTTCCTCTCATTCCATATACGCCAACAAATAAGTGCTGGTATCATTTGATGGGGCTATCAACTTTCCATTTGTCCTAGCTTTCAAATGCATCTTTGATATTTTGTGGCATGACCCATTTGTGCTCAAAAAGTGTTATAAACATGCTCCATAGATCCGATGCCATAGGGCATTGTAGAAAAAGGTGGCTATGTGTTTCTGTTCCCCTCAGGCTCATATAGCATCTGTTGAGTGTTGACCATGTGAAACTTCCTCTTTGCTAGGTTGTCTTATTTCAAACATGCTTCAGGCATGGCAGTACAACTGGTGCAACTTATCTTGGGGGGGGGGGGGGAATTTGCTCCTCCAAATAAGATTCCATGACCAACTCCCTGTGATTGTGCTTAGTGGACCTAGAAGTTTGTAGGCTACCTTCACTGAGAATTCCTTTATATTTGCAACTCCCCATTTGAATTTGTTTGGGTGTAAGGGGTTGATGTTTGCTAATGAAGTGCTGCTAGCAGATTATCATTTCCTCTAACTCCCACTCTGATAGGTTCTTTCTGAGGATTAGGTTCCAAACATTTCCTCCCCTGTTCTGTTAGACTGTTGAGTCGGGAAAAATGTTGGGAAGTCAGACATTGAAGGAGAATTCCTAAGCCATTTGTCTTCCCAAAAATTGATTCTTTGGCCATTTCCTACTACAAGATGGTGGAACTGTGAGAACTCTTCCCATAGCTTGCGCATAAACTTCCATACTCCAACCCCATATGGTTCATCTGACAGCTTTGATCTCCAGTGATTCAGTGCTCCATGCTTGGCAATTATGATTTCCCTCCATGAGATTTGCTCCTCCCGTGTGTATCTCCATAGCCACTTGATCAGGAGACACTTGTTATGTAAGGCTAAACCTTTTATGCACAAACTCCCTAGCCTCTTAGGCAATATGACTTCGTCCCACTCAACTAGGTGAAATTTATGCACATTGTTGTTTCCTTCCAAAAGGAAATTCTTCTTATTCTTATTTTGTCAAGTTTTTCCAAGACCTTTCCTGGAATGGGGTGGAGAGACATATTATAAGTTGGAATGCTATCTAGCACACTGCTGATTTAAGTAAGTTTGCCTCCCATAGAGAAATACTGCATTTGCCAAGAAGCCAGTCTCTTTTCAAATTTCTCTATAAACTCCAATCCAGACGCCTTTTATTTTGAACTTTGCTCCAAGAGGAAGTCCTTAATAGGTCGTTGGAAATGCTCCAGAGCTACACCCCATGGTGGCTGCTAGTTCCTCTACATTAAGCATTCATTAACGGGGTAGATTACACTTTTCAGCATGTAAATGTGGAGACCTGAAATAGCTTCAAAAATCAAGAGTTGGGTTTAAATATAGGATCTGACTCCTTTCAGCACCACACAAAATCTGTGTATAACAAATGGGAGATGTTGACTGCTCTATCCCTCCCTACATCATAACCATTTATCCACTGCATTTGCTTGGCTTTGTCCAGCATTGTGCTCAGTCCCTTCATTGCTATTATGAATAGGAAAGGAGAGAGCGGTTCACCCTGCCTTAATCCTCTCTGAGGAAAGAAGAATCCTACTGGGCTTTTGTTGATGAGGATTGAGTACTTAACTGTAGATATTTTGAATGTTATCCACTTGATCCACCTCTCCCCAAATCCCCTTTGCTTGATTATAGAATTGAGGTAAGAGCAAATCATCTGGTCAAATGCATTCTTAATGTCTAACTTGCATAACAAACCAGCATTCACCTGTTTTTTTTCTGCCAGTCTAGGACATCATTAGCTATGAGGGAAGCATCTGTAATTTGCCTCGCTTGAATAAATACATTCTAATGATTTGAGATCAACTTCCCAGTTACTTTCTTTAATCTTCGTGCTAGGATCTTTGCAACAATCTTGTAAGTGTTGCCAATTAAACTTATTGGCCTGTATTATCTCAGCTCTATTGCTCCTTTCTTCTTGGGGATGAGTGCTATGAATAAAGCATTGCAAGATTACCAACTAACAATGTTGGTGATAATGTTGCAAGATTGCTAACAAGTCTGGCTTGATAAAGACCTAGAATTTCTGAAAAATGCCATAGTAAACCCACAAGGCCCAGGGGATTTCTGAAAATGCCATAGTAAACCCACAAGGCCCAGGGGCCTTGTTAGGTGCTCTGACATTTATGGCCGCTAATAATTCTTCCTCTTCAAACATAGCCTTCATGGAGTTGCTTTCCTCTTCAGTTAAGGAGGCTGTGTCTTCAAAATTGCAGGTGGCCTCCATGATACAGGTTCAGTGTATAAGTTCTTACAGAACTCCAGAGTTCTCCCTTTCACCATCTCCTTGTCTTCAATGATCTCATCCCCCACCAATAGCCTATCAATACAGTTATATCTCATATCTTAATCGGCAGTCTTTTGAAAATATTTGGTGTTTCTGTCCCCTTCTAGCCACACACACCTGGACTTTTGCCTCCAAGATACCTCTTCAATTTTAGCTACTTGTTTGAATTTCGACTCTCAAAGCAGTCATGTTCTCTGCCTCATTGGGACTATGTTGCCTTCCTTTGATGGTCTGTTCTAATGATAACAGATCTTTCAAGGCTTTCGACTTCCTACTCTCTAGTTTCCCAAATTCCTTTCTGTTCCAGATTGTGATATCTTTTTTCAGTCTTTTCAATTTTTGACTGAAGATGAAGTCTGGCCCACCATTAAAGTTGTGACTTTCCTACCATACTCTAAGTTTATCAGTGGAGTCTTCTACTTCCAGCCGCATATCCTCAAATTTAAAGTATTATGGAGATGGATCTGAATCTATATTTTCCACTAATATAGATCTGTGGTCTGAGATTACCTTTAGCTGAGCAATTTGTCTCACAACTCTAAAGGAATCACTCCATTCTGGTGAAATAAGAAATCTGTCTATTCTTGAAGCTTGAGGGCGTTAACACCTCTGGACCAAGTGAATTGTGTTCCTTGTAATATCAAATCAATTAATTCAAGATCTTTGATTGTGTCTGAAAAAAATTCCATTCCTGTGGATTTTCTAGTACTGTGCGTTCTTTCACATTTAAATCTACAAACATCTAAGTTCCCCCCAATGACCCATTTATCTTCCTAGAGCTCCTGACTCCTGCTAATTCATCCCACATCTCCTCCCTTTCTGGATTTGAGCGAGGACCATAAATACCAGTAAAGCACTATCTGAAGTTCTCATTAGAACTTTCCAGCATACAAGAAATGGAATGACAACTTATCAAATATCCACCTTAACCCATTTCCTTTTGTCCCAGATCAGAAGAATACCTCCCCTAGTGCCTGATGCTTTAAGCTCCACCCAATCTGCTCCATGTATTGCCCCACAACTGTTGGATTTATAAGCCTGGATATTCTTCAACTTTTTCTCCTGGAAATAACCTGAGTATCAATCCTTACTTCCACGTCGACCTCATGGGGTAACATCACTGAACTTGCACTCTAAGCACTTTGCCTTCATCCTGCTCAACCTGAGCCCTTAGACTCCAGGTTCTGTCTCCAAACCTCTAGCTTATCGTCATTTTGCTGTGTGTCTCGTCAATCAATACTATGTTATCTGCAAATAGTACACACCAAAGAACCTCCCCTTGGATATGTCGTGTCAGTACATTCATCACCTGGGTCTTGGTTTCATCGTATATGTGCTTAATCTTCCTAACACTTTACTTGGTCCAGGTCTCATGCACTGCGCTCTCTTGCCTTTGCAAGTTGTGTACCTTCTCCCTGCCTTTGTCCTATAGTTCTTCATGCAATTGTTCAAACACTATTATTTTGGCCATTGTAATCGCTAATTTTGCTTCCTTCTTCACCTTCATATATCTCTCCCCATTTTCCCTATTTTCCTCCTCGTCAGTGCTCTCCACAAGGAATTTATTTGTTTATGGAAATACCCTCCACAAATATGGTGGAAAGGATGTGGAAAAAGATTTGAGGAACAATTATGTCTTTAATCATGCTAATGCATGCATTGGAACACCTTGTATTGCGGTTTACCATGTGTTACTTATACATAGCATAATACTAAATAGAGTGTATAACTAATATAGATTGAAAAAGTGTACCAAAAAAAGTTTTAGTAGTACACTAAGGTAATGCATGCATTACTTTTTCTAATGCATCCTACCAAATGACTCCTATGTTTTATAGGCAAGAACACAAGAAACACTCTAAGCTATGAACAGGCAGGTAACAAAACTGAAAAATAGAGGCAGGGAAGTAGGGCAAGTCATATCAACAATGACAGGAAATAAGCTGGAAACAAATTTAGTCTAATAAACACAATTATGACTTATACATAGCATAATACTAAGTAGAGTGTATAACTAATATAGATTGAGAAAGTGTACCAAACAAAGTTTTAGTAGTACACTAAGGTAATGCATGCATTACTTTTTCTAATGCATCCTACCAAATGACCCCTATGATTTATAGACAAGAACACAAAAAACACTATAAGCTATGAACAGGCAGGTAGCAAAGCTGAAAAATAGAGGCAGGGAAGTGGCAAGTCATATCAACGATGACAGGAAATAATCTGGAAACAAATTTAGTCTAATAAACACAATTATATGCAGTAAAATATTAGTGCAAATTGCAATAGTCCCAGAAAGAAAGCAAAGAAAGGACGAAAGACAGAAGGAAACGGGAATATGAGGCAAATGATTTTCCGTCGGACTGGTGGAAACCTGCCAGACTTGCTCCTCTTTCTTGTTGCCGCGTGTACTGATGCCACAACCCTACACGACGCTGCCGGAATGAAGAACGAAAGAAGGGAACCCTAACCACGCTGGTAGAAGTCGCCGTCAAGAGAAACCTGCAGTAGGCATTGTTGCTGGAGAAATAGATGGGACAGAGCATATTTGTTGGTGGCAGACAGTGAAGAGAGAAATAAATGAAATCGAGAGTCTTTCATATTTTCCATCTCAGAGGTGAGAGAGCATCTGGATCTGGGGGTCGCAAGAGAAATGATGGATCTGCAGATGTTGTGTGCAAGTGTTATTTAAATGGGTTCTTTTTTTGTTCTATTTGTCAACTGCCTGAACAAGAATTAAGAATGCATCAGCTGATGTCACCTACTTGTTTTGGTTTGTATTACCTTTGATTTATTCTTGTTCAAGTGCTCATGACCTGCGTCAGATGATTTTCTCAAACTTGATTCAGTGAATTTATTTCTGGTTTGACATTCTCAAATTTACACTTCCTTTTTCTTATCAAGCCCAAAATAATTTTGTTTCACCCTTAAAATGGTTGCTGTAATGTGATTTGTATTCACTCAGTTTCTGTATTGTGAACTTGGTGCAGGTTATTAGAGAGAGAAAATGGGGGGAGGTGAAAGGAATATTCAGATTTCCATCTTCTGTGACCAATGCTTCATTTGTCTTGCGGAAACACTATCTATCCATGCTTTATCATTTTGAGCAGGTTTATTACTTTAGGAAAGAAGAGCCTTCTATTTCTGTGTCTGGTAGGTGGAAACTTTGCAATCAATTACCTACATCTGTTTTAATGTTTTTGTTGTAAAATAAAAACTGAAAAAGTTGTTGCTGTATGTGTTCTGCAGATCCTACAAGTAGAAATGTCAGTGGCTCTGCAACTGAACATGCTAATGATGATAGTGCTGCTACGGATCAAAGTTCAGGTGTGCTTCCAATCTTTAAAACCTTAATTTTCTTTCATGAGATCCTGACTCCTGTTTATGTTGTTTTTATCCCATTACTTTGATATGAGATGGAGTGCATCACCTTTTATTTGTTTGAAAATTCAAAAGAGCTCCAACAAAGAAGTATTGAAGCTTGATGTTGCTTTTTGTGGGATTGCTTTTCTCTCTTGCAACTTTGCTTTTTTAGTTTTTATTGATTTTTTCTGTAGCTCCTATGTGTTTGTAATATTCTGTTTAACAGTGGCTAGACATGTTTATCATGTGTCCAAATTATCATGCAACTTGCAGTGAGCTATAATCTGGAGGATGGGAATTCACTGGTAGGAACAATTGATGCGAAGTTTGATTACGGTTATGTAATCTCTGTGAACCTGGGCTCGGAGAATTTAAATGGTGTACTGTATCATATACCTGCATTACCAAATCAATTCCAAAAGGTGAATACTTTGGCTACACCTTCCCAAAGGATTAGGAAAAGACAGTTGGCTTTGAAGGACCCCTCTCGACCCAAGCCAAATCGAAGTGGTTATAATTTTTTCTTTGCTGAGCATTATGCAACGTTGAAGCCTTCATATCAGGGGCAAGAGAGAGCTATCAGCAAAAGGATTGGAATTCTTTGGAGTCGACTCACAGAGGCCGAAAAACAGGTTGGATATAATCTTGACAGATTAAAAATTCACTTTTATGTTAATTCTTGATATTTGTGCAGAAACTGCATCTGCTATCTGGAATGGTTTTGGTACTTGATGATAATGAATAAGGATTTTTTTTTGAAGAGGAGATTGTTTACATGTTACTATTGTCATCATACAGTAACTTTATAAATAACTTAGTTCTTTAATTGTTTGTTATCTCGTGTGACTTCTAAGCAGAATCACAGTTCGGTTGTATTTTGATAGCATAGTTGCAAAGTTATGGTGTGTTTAACCACCTTTGTCACCGAGTCATTCCGGTTGTATTTTATGGTTCCAAATGTAAAAAGTAAAAAGTTGCCTCTTTTAGTAAAAAGACATTTAAGGGGAGAGGGTGGTGGGAATGGGATGTTGTGTGGGGCTTCATTAGTTGTGCCTGTGTTGTTCAATATAGTTGCCACATACTAGATTGATATTGTGAAAAATGTTATTTCCTCTATTTCACTCTGTGTCTTATTGTCCTTTAGCCTTCTAGTTTGTTTAGAAAAAAATATCACTTTCTTTATTTATTAACTCTTTAATTCTAACATCTTAAGTTACATGTTTAAGACTATAAGTTTCAATAGATCTAATTTAAGACCAAAAGATTCAAAAGTCTCCCTTAGTTTCTTAAACTCCGTGCTCAAACAAACTAAGACACATAATATGAAATAAAGGGAATAGTAAAATTTTGGATCTTTGTTTGCATATGGGTGTTCCAAGGCAATGTAGCTACCGCCTACCGGTAGTTCAGTCTATCAACTACCAATAGTATGCATCCTTGTAGAAGAGCATAAGAAGGTTGTCTATGAAACCGTTAAATATTTAACTCCAAGCTTAGTCTAGTGTTATTAAAGGCTGAAGTAAGCCAGGATAAAGCACAGTTCCGGACTTTAATCTAATAATAAAGTTGTCATTCCTGGATATCCTCAGTAAGACCGAGACGATTTTTGGAGTTACTAAAATGTCCATGGTAAATATATTTTGATGCTGTGGAGGAAAATCGAGATCAATTCTCAGCTCATACTCATATTCGTTCTGGGTTACTTTTGATGCAGGTTTATCAGGAAAAAGGTGCGAGAGATAAGGAGAGGTACAGGGCTGAGATGCTGGAATACCAGACATCCAATGTACAACCATCATAAACTGATATTGTAGGACATCTTTGTTTCCACATCTTTCGTTTTTGTTTGGAAATCATCAATATTATCATAGACAGGATTTAACTTTGATGAATTTGTGAAACTGTTGGGCTCGCGCGCCCTTTTATTTTCTGGGAGTTAGAAAGATGCTTTGGAACAAGATTGGTATCAATGATGTTCCATCTCAGTTTCCTTATGTCAATATAATGTGTTTAAATTAGATATTCTGCTCATTTAGGCAATATGTTTCTATATTTTTGGATTATTTTTCATGGTAGTTTTGCATTACACGTTCTGTCGAAAGCAACCTCTTTATCCGACTAAGGTAGGGGGTAGGTTGGTGTATAACTCTACTCTCTCCAGATCTCACTGGAATGTATTGGTTATGCTGTTTGTTGGACTTCTGAGTTGCACTCTTGTAGGTCATCACTAGAGTTGCTTTCAGCCTATTTGAAATACAATAGATTGCTGCTATTCCTTTTGTTTTAATTTATGTAAAGGGCCTCGGAGTTTACAATCACTCTTTTAATTAGTCATATTTATATCTTGGTGATCTTTCAATTTTCAATTTCAAATTTGACTTGGGGGATGTGTTGAAGTTGTGTAGATGACTTAGAACACAGAAGAGCTATATGTGGAGCAATAATAAAGAACAATATCTATAGTTTTTGCTCAATTTAGGTAATAGAGGAATGAAGGAAAACTACCTGGTAGTACGACTACTATAATCTCAGTTAGATAACATTTCTAAAGTCCAACCTTAGTAGATAAGAAAATCAACTATGTCCCTCGGAAGAACTCAAGAACATGTGTAATCTGCATCTTCTCGAATCTCGATGCCATTAATGTAATCATTACTTCATCCAAAATAAATAAAATAAATAAATCAAGAACACATATGGGTTGATGGTGATATGAATACAATAGCTTTGAAGCAGTGTTGAACCATCTTTGTGGGGATTTGTCCAAGGATGCTTGTTATTACCTGATATAATTGAGGTTTAGTTTTAAGCTTTACTCTTGGTGCCACATGGAGTAGTTTCAAAATAAAAATATTGAATTAACTCTTAATTTTGAGATCGTATTGTATAAGAAAAAAATTATTTATGAATAAATTTTTATATGACGTTTGGCAGGTAGATGAGAAATAAATTACTTACGTATAATATTAATGATGTTTGATTGACAATTAGAACACCTCATAGACTCACCCTCATAGGTGTGACGCGCTCACACCCATGAAAGCGACTCTACTTAGTGCAATTTTTAGACACCCAAGGACTCTTGAACCCGATGCTCTGATACAAAATTTTTCACGCCTCGAGGCTACTCTTTGACACAACACGAGGCTTAGTGTCACAACTGACCCAAGCTAACCCATTGCATGACATGTCGATACAAGTTCAATTGAACTGCATAGTTCAATTAGCGTTTCACGAGTTGTCTAATCATGGCTCGTCTGGTCGGTTGTGATATTGCCTTGCCTGATGGTGCTTTCCCAAAACAAGCATAACTCCTTACTCCGGGCTCAAAATTATGCAAACTTGGAGATGTTGGAAAGAGGACTCAAAGACCTTTAATTTGATAGGTCATGGACAATCTAATTCAGTTTTAGTAAAAGATATTATCGTTTGAAGTTTACCTAAAAAACAAAAACCTGATAAGTCCCTCTCACGGATGACTTCACGGTTTGTGTGAAGCTTCAGACTGTCTAGGCATCCGTGGTCCTTCAGAGTGACCTTGAGGGTGAAAACTCATTGTTTAGGTGATTTGTACGGATCCCTAGACGGTCGTCCAGGTCACCACGGGCCGTCTAAGGCACTGTCTAGGTGACTCCTGCATAGGGGCAGTCCTAAATGGGCTCACGATGCACATGATGGGCCATGGACCTCTAGACGGTCCGTCTAGGATGCCGTGAAAGGTCCATGGTCCATTTTGGATTCATGGACTTGCCTGTTTATCCTTTCTAGCCCTTTCTCAAAATCTGAGGTGTTACACAATTCTTCATCTTTGAATACCATTTTATAACTCTTTGCCAACCTTAATTATATCAAAGAAGTTGTGTGCACAAGTTCCAAGAGGCAAGAAACTTATCATAATATAAACGTTCTTAAATTTGGATGAAGGTTGAGATCATTTACTCTTCAGGAAATGAAAGATGTATTTTTGAAGCATCTAACCTCCATCGTATGGCATTTTCTTGAAAAGATTCACGGTGACATTTTCCTTATTTTGAGTGAATTGGCTATATGCAGATCATCTCTATTATTGAACTCATATCGATTTCCTTCTTTTGAGCAAATTGACATTTTCCAGTTCTCTCACGCCCAGACATGGAGTCATTGCAACATCTTAGACTATCCGAATAGCAAGCAAAACAAGTAGTCCTCGTGTTGAGTCACTCATGGCTACTTATATTTTTATTTAGCATTTATTTGTTTACTTTTCTTTACATGTTAAACTTGTTTATGTGATTTGAATGTGCTCTTGTTCTTGAATTCACAATAGCTAAGCAATGACCTACACTCCATTACTAAAAGGAATGAAGTTCTCTAAATAAAGTTAGCTAAGCAATGACGTATAATCCATTACTAGAAGGAATGAAGTTCTCTACATAAAATTAGCTAAGCAATTACCTATACTCCATTACTAAAGGGAATGAAGTTCTCTACATGAAATTAGCTATTGTGAACTCAAGAAGAGGAATACATTCAAATCACACAAGCAAGTTTAACATGTAAAGAAAAATAAGTAAGCTAATAAATGCTAAAAAGAATATAAGTGGCCATGAGTGACTCAAAACAACGACCACTTCTTTTGCTTGCTATTCGTATAGTCTAAGATGTCGTAATGACTTTCTGTGCATGTGTGCGGATAATATTGAGTCTATGAGACTCAATTTTCAGCGAGAGTCTCGAATAAAGATTCTATTTTGCTCACATCCACATGTCAAGGAACAAGCTGTCATGACCTATACTTCATGACACTCTATTCATGTCTAATGATATTATATTTAGTTTCCTATAACTATGCAACGAAGGTGCTCTCGTGTCAATTAACAAGCTCTCCTCTTAACAAGCATGCACTAATCTTCATTATATTCAACTATGCAATACACTCAAACATATGGTTTTGTATTGAAAGAAACTTATGAACCTAGTCCATCCGTATACACACACCTTTAAAACCTAGACATTTACGAGGGAAAACTCATTGCCAATGATCTACAGTCACTTCCCACATGAGAAAACTCAATCATCTTTTATACTTCACATCAAATGTCAAATCCCATCATTACTCATCCATTCCTAATAATCCTATATATCCATCTCTCACAAACCAACCTAAAATCCCCTAAAACCTAGAATTTCTCATCACCATGACTATAACACGCAACCTAGTTGCCTGCTCTGATGACGTTGAGGACTCCTTCTCACCCGAAAAGGCATCCATGCCCGATTCACCTGAGGATTCGCCCCGGGGGGAGTTATTACCTCTACCACACCCATACACAAGTCTCATCCATGTCGGTTGCCATCTCGAACCCCACCATCCTTTTTTTCCCACCATTTAGCTCTAGAGTTCCTATTACCCCCTCGTTGTCTCCACTTTCTTTATTAAACCCTAATTTTCTCTTCCCGACCTCAACTCCCCTCTGACCACTATCTCAACCACCATCAAACGATATCCATCTCCCTACAACCACTCTCATTCCAATAGCCCCACTACCCACCGCCTTATAGAACTAGAATTCCGATGACGTTCCCCAACTCTAACTCCACCAAACTAGCATTAGAAAACCACATAAGCATATTTCTATGAAGCAGACCACCCTCTGAGTACCTTTCACATGAACTGCCATTCAAACCCAGCTCAGTACAACTAAGGCTGCATATCGGTCATTTCGGTTCGGTTTTGAACATTATCGATTTTGCTTATCAGTTATTCGTTTGTAGACTAGCTAAACTGTTAAAGAACCATTAAGTTATCGGTTAATAGGTTATCGAATCTTATCGGTTTGATATTGCGTTAACCGTTAACATATCATACAATTTTTTAAAATAAAAAATCACATGAAAAATTGAAGATGTAATTATTTATTACAGAATTGCAGATTGCAATTTGCAGGTAGATTACTGAAAACACGAGAGGCAAAACATTTTCTAAGAACTAAAAAGCATATAAAAAAGATATATTCTATTAATCATGTAATTGAGAAGGTACAACAACTCCCTCTTCTCGTGAATCCACAAAGTGAGGCTTCCAAATGTGTAAAATTTTGAAATTCTAGAAGAAGATGAAAAGAAACAAATATGGCAGCAAAATCCAAAGATATGACAAATCAAACAAAACGAAATGCAAAAAGGTAAGTAAAAATAGTCCCTTTCACCTTTGTCTTTCTTCTCATTCAACACAATAACAAGTCAGGCGCCAGCAACACCTGTAAGGCCTTACTGTCATCCAACTCTCATCGGGGTCTCGTGTAGCCCAAAATTCCATCTTCCCAACCCGACCCCTGAACCAATTACCCAATAAAATAAATAAATTGAACCATTTATCCAATAACCTGAACCGTTAGCCCAATAAATCAAAAATCATTTTGGGTTAATGGTTTAACCTGAATTTTGCACAAGCCTAAGTACAACTGTCAAATTGAGTAGGAAATATTTTCATGCTGGTAAGTCTCCGATTCACTCCCCTCGATCTCTTGTGCTTCTTGATTCTAAACCTGAATATGTTCCATTTGATTCCTCTCCCCCTCCACAAATACAAAAACCCAGTAAGAATATGACCAAGTTCTTAGAAATTTTGGGTCTAAAGTGGTTTTGAAGGGAAGAACATTTCATCCTGAGGTTAAGTACTTGGATTTGGTCAAAAATGTTCTTAACTTGTTACTTTAAGGAAGTTAGTGGTTTATGAGAATGCAGTTGTTGAATTTTATATGAATCTCAATGTCTTGGAAGGAAACATTGCCTTTTCTTCTGTCAATGGGTTTGAATTTGTTTTTGATAATGTTCATCTTAGTAAATAACTTCATATCCCCACTATTGGGTTAGCTAAATATGTCTAGACTAAGGATGATAACTATATGCTTACGTCTATATACTCCCAAGGGTGGATCACTGCACGACCTAGGAAGGCTCTTAAGGGGGACATGGAACTCTTTCACAAATTGATGTATAAATTAGTGAACAAGGGTGTTTTTCCTAGGAGGAAAGACGCCATAAGGCATCCTTCAAAGATATGGGCAGAGCAATTCCTTGGAAAACAAATTCCTATTGGTTTACCCTCTCTTATAATAAAACACATGACACAACTGGTTGATCATAAACATGGTCCCCATCAGTTGGCTTTTGGAAACCTTCTTATCATTGTGTTTAAGGCTTTTGAAGTTTCTTTTTTTTGGGGGGGGGGGGGAGGGAGGGTTATGAACAAAAAAGATATGATCATCAGGTCTACTCTTTCTGACTGTAAATTCTTGATAATAACTACCAGGTTTCTTCTACTACTCCCAGGTCTACTGTTCTTGTTGCCATCCTTCTCAATGATCGTCATGTTTCTAGGAACATAATGTTTCCCTTGTTGCTGAAATTGAGACTTTTTGCACTAACCTAACTGGGTCTCAGTAGGAAGTAACTAGATTGAAGGAGTTGATGCAGCAACGACATACAACAATGCTCGAGTGGATCGTGTGTTGCAGCTCCTGACTTTATACTACATCCTTCCTCCTTTCTGGTTTGAAACCCTTATACCGGAATGTCATTTTTGCTTATTTTGAGACAATATTGTTTCTTCTTTTGTTTTGTATTTTTGGATGTTGTGGTGGAGCTCCTACTAAGCTTAAAACATCATATATCAGGTTTTGATTATATCTTTATCTCTGCATGATTGTAATCTTTGCATCTTGTTTGGATGACTAATATCCTTAGATCTTGATCATTTCTCTATTTGTCATGGCTTAGTGTTGTTATTAAGGCTCTAAGTTTTTTACATTCCTATGTAGGGTAGAAAGTCTTGCTTACTTATTTCTCCACTAAGTAAGAGAATGGGGGTTGGTCAGTAAGAAACTCCTCAATCAAGATAAATGAGACCTTTCATGGAAGTCTTAGTTGGACTATACACCGCTACATACTTTACGTCAATCTAGATGATAACAAGGCTTTTCTTCCTCATGAAGAAGGTGTAGAGACCTAGCTTTTCTCTGTGTTAAAATGTAATGCTATACTTTACCCTTGTTTTTGATAAGCCAAAGGGGGGAAGAGTTTGTTTTATTGAAACTGGTGCAGAAAACAATATATATGTCATCATCAAAAAGGGGAGAATCGACGAGACTTGTCAAACTTTCCAATAGCTTTTGATGATGACAATATGAATCAGGTTCACAACATGTACTAGACTTAAAATAAAAAGAGTGATAAAAGACCGCACAAACATATATGCAATAGGAAATATATTTAATACAACAATCCTAGTAAAATAAGGAGAAAACTAAAAGGCAAATGAAACTATGAGGAAGGGATAAACAAGTCTTACAAGGAAAATGATTATTTTTCTAGGAAAAACTAATTTCTTTCCTCATATAAGTTGACTAAAGTTGAAATCCACATCTATAAAATGTCGAAGTGAAAAAAAAGGAAAAAATGGCTTTTGCAATAACAAAGTGAGAGAATCTTCAACAAAGGCAGAGTGACTCAGAGAGATTAAAATGTAAAAAGAAAGAAGAACTTAAGTAAGATTTTTTTCTAAAGGGTAGTTTATTGTTTCGTCTAAGAAGCATTGCTTACAAATTAGTGTTTGATTGTGAGAGTTGGATCTCAACTCATACAGATGAAGGGCCTAAAAGAGAGAAATATTGTAGCATACGATTACTGCCAAAAACTTAAAAATTCCAAAACTGAAATAAACTTTGAACTTGATTAATTGAATATCATATTAATAAAGTAACATTTGCACTTATAAAACCAAACATTGTCGTAATACTATCTCTGTTTTAGAGTTTAGGATGCAATCACAAACCTGATCCAGTTTATACTAATAGTAATATTTTAATCTATTCGTCTAATGAACAATTTATAGGGTTCGATACATGTTATTTTTTATGATATCAAGTATTAAGTTAATTAAGAAACACAAAGATATTAATTACGTATATGAAGAACACTTATAAAATAATGATATTCACATAAAGGGAGTGTACCATTATGCCATAGCGAAGAACAATTGAAGACAAACTTTGTCTTGGGGTGTAATAGGACTCCAGTTCCTGTGCATGATAGAGGTGCCCCCCACCAGCTGTTGGAATGACGTGAGCTGTGCTGGGCATCAATTAACAAAGATGAAGGGCCCGAAAGACAGAAACCTTATAGCATGCCAAAAAGTTAAGAATCCCAAATTGAAACAAACTTTGAACTTAATAAATTGAATATCACTATAATAAGTAACATCTGGATACAAAGTGCAAGTATAACAAATCAGTGTCACAATACTATCTCTATTTTAGGGTTTCGGATGCAATCTAAACCGCGATCCAACTTACAGTAATAGTAATATTTTAATCCATTCATGTGATGATCAAATGAAATGATTCTAGTCCTATGTAATTTTTTTTGTATAAAGTATTAAATTAATCGAGAAACACAAGATGTTTATCAGATATATGAAGAATACCTATATAGTAATGAAATTTGCAAATAGAGAGTGTGTACATGCACGCCATAGCAACACACAACTAAGACAAACTTTGGGCGAGTTTTCCTCTCCTTTAGTTTATGACAGCGGGCAACTGTGGGAAAATTTTTAGGTTAAGTCACAAGAGAGGACCTAGCTCCATATATATAGGCTTAAAAGTCTTAACCTAGTGGGCCTCCCAAATACGAGCTCACTAATCTCTAACAGGCCTATACTTTTGTCGGCCCACACATAGTACATGAAATGATACAGGTCCATCATGAAATCCACATAAATATATGACTTTGGTCTTGTCCACCAACCATCAATACCTGACCCATTTTGGTAAACAAAATAATAAGTTAATGTTAAGTCAATATTTAGTAAATAAGTCTAATGGTCCTAACTAGTTTTGCGATTGAATTATAGTTCTTGTTGTGGAATTTTACCACCAATAGAGCATAATAGACTTAGAGGCTTCATACAACGGATTCCAACTTGTTTAGGATTGAAACACATCTATTATTGTTAGTAGGATTTTATTTTAGCTTTTCTCAAGAGAAAATGACATAAATAGTCCTTTCACTATAGGAGTAGGTCTAAAATGGTCCTTCAACTATACACTTGACGGATATAGTCCTTTCACTATTCAAAAACTTGTCAACTTTAGTCCCTTAACTATAGACTTACCCTTAACTATAAAATTACTGATATGAGTCCTTTAAGTATTCAAAAACTTATCAGGTTTGGTCTTTTTTCATTTGCAAATATAAATAGCTTAGGTTCATATTAGCGGGATCCGTGTCTCGAGAAATTGAATTTTTTTTAGTAATTCTTTCTTTTGTTTCTCTCTCCGCTTCATTTTCTTCAAATTAACCTTATGCAAAGAACCTTAACCTTAACGATTCAAAATAAAATTAATGAGAAAATAAAATATAAGTCATAATTTTATTCAATACAGGATCCAATGAAACGTATTGATTACTACTAATGACTTGAATATGCTAAACTTTATTATAAAAATAAAAAAATTATTCCCCGTTAACTTCAAAGTTTGTACTTCAATGACTTATTTGAGCAAAATTTGTTTAATTTTTCATAAATTGAAATTTATATAATGATATATTTGTAAAAAATTTAATTACTTTTAAATAGATCAATTTTCTTATTCTATTCATTTTATTTCACGTAAAGTGTTTGAGTAGATTCAATAAAATCCACACTAATTAAAATGTTTAAGTGCGACTTCAAGTCATTAAAACAATTATATGCTTAATTTATCCTCCATTGAATAAAATTAGGACATATATCTTGTTTTCTCCTTAATTTTATTTTGAATCGTAGACGTTATTGTTCTTTTTATAACAATATTTTGAAGAAAAAAGGGTGGGGATAGATAAACAATTTTAAAAATGGGTTGAAGATTTAATTTCACGAATATTTCTGTTTATATAAACCTAAGCTATTTGTATTAAAGAAATGGACAAAGACCAAACCTGCTAAATTTTTGAATACTTAAAGGACTAAAATCGGTAACTTTATAGTTAAGGGACTAAATCGATAAGTTTATAGTCAAGGGACCAAAACTAACAAGTTTTTGAATAGTTAAAGGACTATATATGTTAAGTGTATAGTTAAGGGACCATTTTAAACCTTCTTATATAGTTAAGGAACTATTTATGTCATTTTCTCATAACAACTGCATTTCTGAATGGTGGCTTAGATTGACCTCTATTAGTCTATTGCATGCGAATCTGCCTTCTCATTCATAGTTAGGAATTTATTAAACTCAAGATACAACACTGACACCATACCGGGTATATTCGCACAAGTGGGATCTAGGGAGGCTAGAGCGCACACAGACCTTATCCCACATCGTAAAGACAGAGAGACAATATTCACCAGACCCTGAGCTTAAGTAAAACATTTCTAGTCCGTTTGAAAAAGGTAAAATATAAATAAAAGCACTAACAATAATGAAATAACGTGAAATGAAGATAAGAACTCAACATACAGAGGAAAGAATAATAATTATAGCGAAATAATGTGATAATTTTAGCACAAAAAACACAAGGGATCACTGAAGCCGAAGAACAAGAATCTATGAGAGTAAGGCTAATACCACTAGTAAGAAAGAAGGTCTAATTAGTATGACCATTAAGTCTATTCCACAATAAAGCGAGAAAACGATCACTGCCAATTCTAACATTCTATTCTAACCCATGATTTCCAAACTCTCCTATCGAATGTCATGTTTTGAGTAATCTAAAGATACACCATGTCCTATACAATCGCTTCCCCAATACTTCTTCAGGTTGTCTCTACCTCTATTAATGCCCGCCATTGTCGATTTCTCACGCCTCCTCCCTTGGGCATCTACACTTCTCCACTTCACATGCCCAAATCATCTCATGTTCGCTTCCCTCATGCATCTTGTCGACCATGAGGCCACTCCTATCTTGTCCCAGATTTCTCTATTTCTAATATTATCTTTACTAGTATGCCACACAAGGGCGGACCCACATGCGGTCGTCCGGGTGCTGAGCACCCATTAACCTTGAAGTAAAATTATTTATACATATAGTAGTTTCTTCTTAATTTGAATATATAAATTGCTCAGTACTCAATGAATAAATCTCTTGATAGGTGCATTGGTCTTATAGCGATTATTTACCCATTTTCTAATTCCTCTCTCTCTGTACCAATATAAACTCTCACATGTTTTACTTTTTTTTCCTTTATATTTTTTTATAAACTTTTAGTCATAATTTCATTTACGTTTTATAAATTTCTCCTGACATGACAAAATTAAAAAAGTCATATTCAATCACTTTTCTCATTTTTCTTGGGAGATGTTGGCTATTTTGTAAAGAAATTCTTTAAGATAATTTTTTTCCTCAAAATTTGAAAGTTCTTTTGCTTTTGTAATGGCAGTATTAATCATTTTTTTTCTCATTAAGTTTTTAAACATCATATTTAAATAACTATGCAACTATACTATGTGATTTATAATAATTTTATATTAAAAGAAGTGAGCATCCACGAGCAGAAAATCTTGGATCCACCACTGATGCCACACATTCACCTCAACATCCTCATCTTTGCAACTTTCATCTTTTGAGCATGTAAGTTCTTGATTTGTAAACATTACGTCCCATACAACATAGCAAGTCTAACCATCACTTAGTGCACTAATTTGGCGTGGCATATAATTGATAGATATTGAACTAATAAGTAGAGGATTAAAATAATAAAGAGTTGACTGCATTGCATGTTAGGCCTTGTATAAATGCATCAGCCAGTCTAAACTATTAGGTTGTGTACAAAATTTTTGAACTTCAAAAGACTCGGTCGTTTTTTTTTTATATGAATGAGATCAATTCGTTGTTCCTTGCCAACATTGTCTCATAAATGACCTATCAAGCTCATGAGTTTTTCATAAATGACCTAGTTCGTGGATCCACTTTAGCAATAATGAATAATACAGAGCTTTTACTTTGGCAAGTAGACTATCTTTTCTATGTGAGGGTTACAATGGATTCATATTATAGCTAGCATGGTTTTATTATCGGTCAATGGTAAATATCCCACAAATAAACTTATGTTTTCTTTAAAAATCTTGTCAAAACTTTTCTATGGTTTTCAATATGCATCAACATTGTTTATGATTTATGGTTTCTCTTTAAAGGTTTTTACCATATTTTACTTGGTTATGGATATCATGTTTAAATTCACTAATTTATCATGTTTACGTTTTATGCATTTCCTTATATTCAGTACATTCAAAGTAATGATGCATATTATACTTATATTATGAAGTTCGACGCTCCTCCCGCATATTCTCTTATGTACTCTGTTGGCATATTTTATGTCATCTTTAAGTGTTGATACTCCTTGGTTATACTCATATTGCATTTCTTTTATATCATGCTTATGTCAAGTGTCTTGTTTAGAGCCTCTCAGGGTTCTATATTGTAATAACACATCTAGGGTGTATTTTGGGTTGTAACATTTTCCAGTAATCTGTAAGACCTCCACATTTGGACTATAATTCAGTTAGTTCAGTTTATTTAATCTTTCAGACATTGTTAGTTGAATAATCAGATAGTCGTTGGTCTTTTCATGACACCTATCTTCAATTAGTAGAGGTTTCATAAATAGACAAAGTTAGTGAGTCAGTCACTCTTGAGCATTTAAAAGTTCTAATATATTTATATTTATATATAAGACTTTTGCATGATATATATTTCATTGATTTTGAATGCTCATTTTGCAAGGCTTCGGCAGGTATGTATAATTTTCTGTAAAGTAGTCAGTCAGGACAACGGTTCGCATGGGATCAATTATGATTCTGAGTGTCGACTACGTCTAAGGTGTAGGTTTGAGGCAATGCCAGAAGGTTCTCCGAAGCTTTTCCTATTCTTTCTCTGATTTTATTCGTTGAAGACATGTTCCTTTTGCATATAAAACTTACACTTGTAGCTGAAGAAACTGGATATATGATACGAAAAAACTACGTTAATGAAAAGCTAAGAGCATCCGTATTTGGATAAATTAGCAAACTAGTCAAAAATCATAACATAATAATTAAAAACATCTATATTTTATAAATTTTAGTCAAAATGTTAAAATGTCAATATTTTAGAAAATATTGTGTATCCTAATTTAGTTCCTATTTTATCTCACCTTAATTATACCTTTTCCAACTCATTCTCTCTCATATGTATTTTTTTTAAAAAATATTTTCTCTCACTAATTTCACTCTTTCAAATCAACTTCATCTTTCAACTCTAACTTCTCTTTTCTTCTCTTTTCATTTTTTTTCTTCAAAATTTGGGAAATATATCTCTAAAGATATTCACGACAATCCTTTTGATTAAGGTATGCATCTTCATCCGGTTTTTAGGTTTGTTTACTATTTTTTTGTTTAAATTTTTCAAAAATTTTGTTTGTGGTTGGTATTAAATTGACCAATTTTCGTTTAGGGTTTGAAAACCATAAAATCACTCTCTAATCGTCGAATCTAGGAGGATTACAAGAGATATGCAACTTAATCAACAATATGCAACTTAATCAACAATTTTCTAGCAATTTTTCATTTTTAATATATATATGATTCA